CAGCCCAGAATTAGCTTTGCTCTTTTAATGGGGGGCTGTAGCGCTTTTTCAATTATTACTTAATTAAATAATGTGCCGATATCTGCCAGCATATTTCTAAAGTGAAGTGCAAGCTGCCGTTGCCCACCTGCCCACAGGAAAGCAGAAAACTTCCCTGTCTCTCTACTGCTTCTCCAGAAAAGTTAGTATTCCCTGTGCGTCTGTAAGTGCCAGGCACACAGCACATTGCTCAATGTGGAGTGTGCAGCCACGTGCCACTGTCAGCTCCACAGCACCTCCAGGCTGTTTTGGTGTTCAGATGCATTAATGCAAACGTGTACATGTCAGCAGGCTAATATCATTTATGCATGCCAATCATTCCAAGCAGGAAAAAAAAAAGATATTTTGGTCCAGATCGTTTTGAATGTAAGATTTTTAGCACCAAAGGTTTGTGGAAGAAGTAAAAATTCTGTAGAATTCACAATTCTGGTTTTCCAGAAAGTGGAAATACAAAGGTGGCCCCTGCCCAGCTGCCCAAGAATTCCAAAGAAAACTGGTCCCCCAAAGACAAAGAAGGAAAGTCAGGTAGCCTGCCCTTTCTGTTCCCAGCCTTTCCCATAAGGACATCCTTTCTAAAGTAGGTTTAGAAGTAACTGATCAAAAAGCAAATTAAATTTTACTTGATTTAAAAAGGCAGCCCAAAATGCACGCACGCTGGTTTCAACTTGCTCAGAGACGTTTCATGGTGCATGTATCTTTCCTACTACTTCATGGTTCCTCCATGAGAAATCCCGTAAGATGAAAAATCATAATTTCTGGCAAAATGAAAAGATGCCTGCCTTACATAGGAATGTCGTATTTTTTTTTTTTAAAAAAAAAACGAATTTTGACAATTTGAAGAAGCAAGCTGAGAAGTGAATTTTTCCTGGAGGAACTTCATGGAATCATTTTCCTATCATGAGTCACTTTAACTATTAGTGACACTTTTTTAATTCTATAAAGTATACATAATGATAGTGACATGATGTCCCCATGAGAAACCTGATGATGAAATAAGGACTTGCTAAAAAGTTCCAGTAAGTACAAACCAGGCAAGACAGCTTTACAACAAAACTAAAATTAAACATCCACCCCGTCTTCCCATTCCCTTGTGCTCGCACTGACATATACCACTTAACTGATTTTTATTTACTTAGGAGAAAAAATATCGATAACTTTTTTTGACCAACACACACATTATAAGCATAGACCCACACGAATGGTTGCCAATTAAATGATTTCTTTGATGCCAAATAATCTTAATATGTTTACAGTAATTATATTGCTTATTGTGCTGTTGTTGGTATCCTAAGACTGTTGTGTGTGTTGTTGTTGGACAAAGCAGATGAATAATTACTTTGGTGTCTCTGGGACCTGGGATTTTTCAGGAGAGTAGAAAAAAGAAACAGATGTAAGACAGATGTTGTAAAATAAAAACCTGGTGGCCATAGATTTGAATGGAAAGTTTCAGATTGAACTCATAATGTTAACAATGAAGAGGAACCAAGGTTCTTTGGAGAAATACCTGGTCTGCATCAGGATATGCACAAAAGAGGCTGAAACTTCTGTAATTCCTGGAAGCCAAGAGGCTACGCCAGTAAGGGTACATCAAAAGGATTCAAAGCCACCCAGGAGGAAGTTCCACAGGCCAAAATAGGAAAAAATGAGCATGAGGAATATAATTTTAACAAATGGTAATACTTCAAATATGTTTAAACCTATAAGTTGATACGTAAACATTAATAATAATAAACTTACTGATCACTTTTGGAGGACGCCAGGGAACTATGCACTAAGGCTAGTGAATAGGAAGAACTCATTGGGAATGTCTTCTGTCTTAGGGTAACGGAGTGGTTAGCGAGGATAAGTTACTCTTTATAAAGGGTATCAGCTAATAAGTGGAAAAAAATGTTCAAATGTCACCACTTTGCAACCCTAAGAAATTATTGGCTCTGACATTAAAAGAGACAAAAGTAGACGCTTTCTACTGACAGAAGTACTGCCCAATGGTCTAGCAAAAAAAAAAAAAAAATTGGACCTGAACCCTATCAAGTCTCAATAGCAACATAAAATAAAGACCATGGGGGAGCCATTAGCAAATCTAGTTCGGGTAAAAATCTATAACTACTAGTTCCTGGGTTGCTTCCACAACAGACAGACAGAGGGACAGAGGGGGAGGCAGCTACGTAGGTTTAAAGAAATACAGCAAATATATGAATCACTTGCAATGAATGGCCATTATGCTAATTCTGATTCAAGTCAATGTCAGCACCCTGGGAGGCCCAGGAGAGTGGATTGCTCAAGCTAAGGAGGTCAAGACCACCCTGAGCAAGAGAAAGACCCCATCTCTACTGAAAATAGAAAACTAGCTGGCCACTGCAGCAGGTGCCTGTAGTACCAGCAAGAGGATCATTTGAGCCCAAGAGTCTGAGGTTGCTGAGCTATGATGTTCTGGCACTCTACTCAGGATGACAGAGGGAGACACTCTGTCTCCAAATTTTTTTCCTTTCGAAGCATACACTGAAATATTTATGAACAAAAGGAAATGGCATCTGAGATTTGCTTAAATAAAAAAAAAACCTTAGTGGGAGAGAAACCAGGTATAGATGAAACAAGATTGGCCATGAGTTAATAATTATTCGAGCTGAGTGGTGGCTATACGGAGGTTTATAACACCACTGGTGTCTCTCTACTTTATATGTTTGACATTTTCTTTCATGAAAAGTTACAAAATATATGCTAGTTCAAAATCTGGCAATGAATGTCAGATCGTCATGGGAAATTCTTAGACAATAAAAGTCTCCAGTGTAGCTAAAGTTAGGATATAGACTTAAATTATAATGGGCACAGTAGCCTTTGTGGTAATTTTGGCCCACTTTCTGTTATCCAAATAGGGTTTACTATTGAATCATCCATTCTGCCATTTCTAAAATACTAGCATAGTTATCTTTTTCTTGTAGTACTCAGTGGAAAAACCAGACAGGAATACATTCCACGAAAAGGGGAGAAAAAAAAAATATATATATATATAGCAAGAAGGCATCATAAAATTATTTTGGCTTTTTTTTTACTTTTATTTTGGTAACTCTATCAGTTGAATGATACCTAAAAATTAATTTTACCAAAGGAACAAAACGACCAAGTTATTTTCCCACTATACAGCTTTCTCCCTCACAGTCAGGAGGGAAACAATCTCCCAGGACTCTTCTCCCTCTGTTCTTATTGTACAATCCGCACCTTTGGGATGGTGTTGTCTCCCTAAAAGCTCACAGCAAAAGCCAACATGATATAAACGTGTAAAAACATGAAAACATGAACCAACAGCATGCCAAGCTCTTCTTGGATATCTCCAAATTACTCTAGGGCGTATAGCTATGACTGGGGGTTGCCCCAAGGGTTTGCTCTCGTGAAAATTGCATTGCTCTGGGCTAGCGAGAGACCCAAGACTCCCCCAGCCCCTGAGAACGGTCATACCACACAGAATGGCACCACATGTGAGCGTGTTTCATGAAGGACCATCCAGCCTCCTTTAATCACTATTGCTCACCCCTTTGGACATCCCTTTTAGACTGACTCATCTCTAACCTTTGGGATTTTCTTGCTTATGTTAAGCCAGCGGTTCTCAACCTTCCTAACACGGTGATGTATTTTCAGTGTTACAAAGGGGTCGTAACCCACAGGTTGAGAACTGCTGTTCTAAGCAGTACAGCATGGCTGTTTCATATGAAGTTCCTCCGACTTGCATATGAAGCTGTACGTGTTGGGCACTCAGAAGTAGAAAATGTTAAGTTCAAATCAGCCCACATTATCAATAGGAGAGGAGGTCCATCTAGAGTATTTAAGTAATTATCAGCATTCAGATTATATTGAGATGTCAGAAACCGACCAGCCCACCACAAGCACACACCTCAACATAGCTACAAGTTTGATTTGATAACATAGAATAATGAAAGATACACATTTTAAGGAAATCGGAATGCTAATATTGGAACTACAGCAGATGTCCAATTTATCCATTTATTTGTGCTCATTGCACAAATAAGCAACAATCACCGATACTTGAAAACTTCAGCCCCTGGTTTCAACATCTTCCTCAAGCAATTCTTTATTGGGGCTAGATATGTGAATTAAGATCCACTGAAATTCCCCCTCTCTCCATTATGTTGGTTATCTTTCTGAAGAGAAGAAAAAAATGGCAGGCAATGGAACAGTTAGATAGAGCTGGGGAGCTGGAGAGGGAGCAACGAGTGGAAGTAGGGGAAGGAAGAGGAAGGAAATGAATGAGCCGAGGAGGCCTCAAGAAAGGGAAGTGGGCGGTATGGTCCAGAATGCTGAAGAAGGAGATGTGATAACAGAATGCAAACCGGCTTTTGGATAATTGAGTGAATGGTATTTATACCTCACTTCTCTTCAAGAATCTAACTGCTAATGATTTTAAGTGATGTATAATTTCAATATGGTCTTCTGCTTCACAAGTTAAATATCAAGTTATGATGTTCAAGATCACGGTGTCTATTTGCATGCAAGAAGATATGTGATCTTACCAGAGAATTGATAGCCTGTTCTGTTTGTAGTCTCAGGTAAATTTTGCCAGAATTTCCAGAAGAGTTTAGATCACAGCATAACCCCGAAATTCCTTAACATTTCTCAGTTTTGAAATAGAAACGTGTAGACTTCCTCTTTCAGCTGAATTCCAACTTAATCAATAGTGAAAGGAGCTAAACAAGAAAAAATATGTCTTGGGGAAGGATTCAGTGTATCTTAGAGCCTCAAGGCAATCAAAGTGGAGAGAATGGAAGATAGCATAAGTGGAATTAAATGCAACCTTACTACTGGCTCAACAAATTATCATAATAGCCAAAAATACACATATCAATCCATTAGAAAAATTCCATTCATTTGATAGCTAAAAAAAAGGACTCAGCAAGGACTTAGCATAAAAGATAACAAAACTCAATGAGGCTGCTTCAGAGAGGACTCACCGGTCTTTCCCCGTCTCCTTCTTAAAAACTCCATCACAGTAACTCATGCGCTTCTCTGTGGTCACGTAAATTTGGGCACTTGGATAGACGTCAACAGTCTTTTTCAACATGTTGTAAACGATTCCATTGCCGTCTTTCCTCATGTTACGGAAAGGGCCCCAAATAACATAAATGGTGGTATTGGCTTCCTTGAAAAAGTAATCAGGGTTTTTTAGCAGAAGTGGAACACTCGTATGGGACACAACTCGAATCATGGTCATGTGGCCAACATCTTCTTCATAACCTTTGGTGGGGGCGTTGTTCATTCTCCAAATGCAGGAGGACTGATCTATCTCACTCCCCACTTTCTGGCCAACCATCTGACCTGAGTTGGACACGATGGCACAGAGATCACAGTCCAGTTGCAAAGGCTGAAAAACAGAAAGTGAAAGAAGACCGGGAAGAAAGATGTATTAACAAGTTAGCAAATTCCCTCCACAAGTTCTTCTGGGAAAACAAAAATTCAGCCATTACATAATGTCTGAATATGGAAATATCTCTGAGCTACATACACATATTTACCTATCCTACACTCTCCACTATAGGTCATCAAGTTAGGGGTACGCTTCCATCAAAAAAGTAAATTATACAATTGAAACTAACTTTAACTTCTACAATCCCAATGTTTTGGCTGAAAATTATGTGGAAATATAGTAAATTGTTTTTAACCCCAAGTGATGCATTTTCTAAAATTGAGAACTGTAATTTCAAATGAAATAAGAAAATATATGGGGTCAGTGCCTGTGGCTCAAAAGTGTAGGGCACCGGCCCCATATGCCAGATATGGTGGGTTCAAACCCAGCCCCAGCCCCCTAAAAAGAAAATATACGGGCGGCGCCTGCGTCTCAAAGGAGTAGGGTGCTGGCCCCATATACTGGAGGTGGTGGGTTCAAATCCAGCCATGGCAAAAAAAAAAAAAAAAGAAAGAAAGAAAAAAGAAAATATGTAAAGATTTGATTTCTGTAATAAGGTTGGAAAAAAACTAAAAGATTTATGAAAGAAATATATACTGGCATCAATTTTGTATCTTACTTATATACATAAGTGGATATGTAGCACTTTACAAAAATATATATAATTCAGCAAATGGAGAGGTTCTGGAATAGATTTTTCAGAACCTAGAACTACTTAAGACAAGCAGCAAAAATATTATAAAGACTCTTCAAAATTCCCTCAAATAACCATGATAATTATGCTATTTTAGATGAATAAAGAAAGGGCTCTTTTCAGAACTCCGGGAAGGCATGTACTGCATTTCCAGAGCTGGTCTGAGTCTCTCTTCTTGTTTTATTTAAACACAGAGTCAACAAAGATTCATAGAAGTGGATTCAAATATAGATGGTCTAACTCTAAGCCCATAGCCCCTTTCATTACTCCTGCTTTCTCTTCTCCTAAAACAACCAAATAAATTACTTTTGGTGCTTTTCTCCCACATGAAGAAATGACTCCATCTTTTAAACAGTGATGAATAAGCAATGTGCTTTGTTAATACACATCTTTCTCCTCTCCCTTCTAGGAGATTCCACATTTTGCATCTGACATTTCATCTGAGGTTCTGCTGGGCTTACTGGTGAGTAGCCCCTCTCACACTGGTCACGTTGGGGACCGTCCTTATTTTACATACTATGCTGCACTTTAATGTATTGTTTAATTGTGCCTGTCCACGTACGAGCCTATCAACTCTGGAAGAACAATGTCTATCTTCGTCATTTCAACCCCACTGTCCACAAGTCCCTAGAACACAGTAGTAGCTCAGTTGGTTAAATTAGAATATTAAAGAAATTAGGTTAAAATAATTATATGAGAGACAAAGCACATCAGAAAGTTCACCCGGGTAGTCATCACACAACTGTAACAGATCATCTTTCCCATCAGTGACAGGTACTTACAGTATTTACTGAGCACCTACCATGTCCTGGGCATAGTTCCAGTGGTTGGAATTCAGCTGTGAAAATTATGAACAAAAATTCCTGCCTCCAAAGAGCTTACCTTCAAGTGGTGGAAAGTGGAGAAGGACAATAAATAAACTAGCCTACTATAAAAGATGTTAAATGCTGACAAGCTCTAAACAGAGAACAATGAAACCGGGAGGGGCAAGCAGAGGAGGGGTGAGGAGGTGTGCATCTGTGCCTGTGTCTCTGTGTGTTTGTGTTGGTGGTGTGATCAGAAAAAGCCCTCACTGGGCTGGGCACGGTGGCTCACATCTGTAATCCTAGCACTCTGGGAGGCCAAGGTGGCAGAATTTCTTGAGCTCAAGAGTTCAAGACCAGCCTGAGCAAGTGCAAGACCCCCATTTCTACTAGAAATAGAAAATTTAGCTAGGCATTATGGTCCCAGCTACCTGGGAGGCTGAGGCAGGAGGATCACTCAAACCCAACCCAAGAGTTTGAGGTTGCTGTGAGCTAGGCTGGGGCTATGACACTCTAGCCTAGGTGACAGAGTGAGACTTTAATCTAAAAAAAAGGCAAAGAAAAGAAAAGAGGCCTTGCTGAAAAAATGATATTTGAGAATTTGAGAAAAGACGTGAATGAAGTGAAAGAGCTGGCCACGTGGCTATCTGGGAAAAGCATCCCTGCAGAGTGAAGGTGAAGCCACGTGGATCCCTGCAAAAGGAAGGGACCAACAAATCAGTGTGCTCGGCAGGGGTAGTGGGGACTGAGGTGGCATTGGGGCCACAGCCACAGACGGGACAAACCGCCCCCAGCCTTTGACTTCATGTGAGATGAGGAGTCGCTGAAGGGCTCTGGGCAGAGAAGTGACTGATCCGCCCAGAGCTACAATTTAAAGCATCGGTGCTGGGTGGAGGGTTGATTAAAATAGGCCAGAGTGGAAGCAGGAAGCACAGGCTACTGCTACGACCCCAGCGAGAGAGGATGGTGGCTTGAACCCTGCTGAGTAGCAAAGGGGAGAGAGTAGCTCCTGCTCTGGAGCTACTTGGAAGGGAGAAGCCGCTGCACAGCTTCAGTCTTTTAACCTAAGCAACTAGAACACGGAACTGCCTCTAAACGGGGAGCAAAGACTTCAGGAAGATGGGGTTGGGAGGGGAAGATCGGGAGTTCATTTCCAGACCAGCTGCCTTGAACACAACCTCTCAGTCACATGCTGCAACAAAACTCCTCAAAACGCCTGAAAAACCTCCCTACGCCAAATATTACAAGTAATGTGGGCTACAGGCTCATTGTGAAGAACTTGAAAAATTAAAAAGTAATAGAAAAAAATGATAAAAATATTCCCTATTCACATTACTTTACAACACTATGTATATTTTTGTCATTTTCCCCCTTCTATATATATTATTCTAGAGAGGTTGATAAATATTATGTATGCAATTTGGTAGCCTTGGTTTTTCCATTTCATTTTGTATCATGAACCCTCCCCATGCAAGTAAATGGCACTTAGAGATCGTTTAAATGCCAGGGCAATATTTCGCTGTATGGATATACCATAATTATCTGTTTGCCTACTGCTGGCATTTAGTTATTGTCTGTTTTTTTTTTCTACCATAAAAAGTGCTCTGATGAATATCCTTATGCTTCCTGCTGTATTTTGGATGCTAATAGTACATTAATTTAAATTAATTTCTTTGATTTAGTTTTTATTGTGCTTTGATAGCATATACCAGACTGAAAAAGACGTCTGTTTATGTGAGATGTCAAAAGTAAGAATTTTGAAAGCTTGATTTGCAGAACCGAAAAAAGTCCATTTATGAGGTGTCTTAAACTTGATATCAAAGGGACTATCCATTACCCCTGCCACCATGAGTTCTCTAAAGTAGGTTAAACAGCAGGTGGACTCGGCCCCAGGTCCTTTCAAGGTGGGTGAGTGGACCAGGAGTCTTAGAAAATGGGGGTTTGTAGGTTGGTGTGCAGTGAAGACTTCACCAATGACTGGCTGTAGGCACAAACAGATGCTCGCTGGGGTTGGGCATCTGATACCGTTCATTTGTCCTCTACTTAGGAGCCTGCATTCTTTTAGGTAGTAAGGAAGAACACGATATTCCTCTTGCCAGGCGACACTTAGCTGAGTTCTCCAAATTCACTTAGTCATGCAAATCAATGCCTGATTTAAACTGTGTGTGTCATATGGCACACTCCAACTTATCACCAGGATGCATATGGTGCAAGGAGGTTACATTCCATCTACTGTTCCAAGAAATTGTCTCATTTTATAACAAAAGCGCATTTGGGGTATAGCTTCCATAAATTAAAAAAAAAATCAAAAAGAAGAAAAGAAACAACAGCCTTGGATGTGTTCTGATCTATAAAATGCAGCAATTTGCATTGAGTTTCCCCATCGTTACCATGAATTCGCTGGTTCTGCCGTAACCAGGCTTAATTTAACTAATAAGAATCAGCCTACTGGTCTCACTTCACAATTGTAACCTCTGAAAGTGATCAATTAAGATATCACAATCTGTTTCATGACATATTGGGATGCCGCAGTTGTGCAGATTATGAGGTCAGCTGCTAACTGACAACTTGAGGGCAAACACCAGAGAATAGTCTCTTGGTCACGTAGCAGGTGTGTCATTGGGCAGAACACTGTGGATGCAGTGGCTTTGGGTGATCTTTAAATTGCCCCTTTCACTTGGCCCTGTTTACCATGGCCGGAGGCTGTCCAGGCTTGATGGTCACAGATCTAACGATCTGATTTCCTGAGCAAGGTACCCAGAGATATGGCCGACTATGAGGATTACTCTATTTCCCACTGACTTCCAGGAACCATTTTTAGAGTCTGACTGGAGCATGGGGCTGGATGAATAAAACATTCCTAATCGTCATCAGAAGCTTCGGGGGGCACAAAGAGTGTGTGAAGGCCCAAGGGACTCATGTATACATTTGAAGGTCCCTTCAAACTATAGTAAGCTATGATGAAAAGAAAGAAATAAGCTAGGCCCAATGAACGGGCTGACCCCAAAGCTGCTCTTATCTAGTTATCTCAGTGGCTTTTATTAGCTTTATCACTACATCTTCTGATCTCAACCTTCTTTGTTAAAAGGCACTGCTGTTTCTTGAACTCGTTTATATTATTTGATTTGGAGGCCCTGCTTGAAATGTATCCCATATGTCTCTACTCACGCGGCCTCCGTCAGCAGCTCCTCTTCCTTTCCACATTGAAGCCCTGGATGTTCCAGGATGTTTGCTGAGGTTTATCTGGTTCCATTTCATCAAGCCCCATCTTAATTTTGAATTCTCCTTTTTGGTTGAATCACCTCTATTTGTTTCTTTTTATTGCAAACAAACTTCTCTTTATCTTATCTCTTGTACACGAAAATCTTCCTTGAAAACAACCTGTACACTCAAAGCACTTTCATTGGGCTTGAGCCGTGTCCCTAAAGTGGGGGCACCACAGATATTCAGCCTGTGTTGTC